TTAGATACATTTATTCAGTTATTTATGCCCCCACTGACACTGGCAGCCATTTTGAAGCATCTACTACTCATTTGTTTCCCTACTGTGGCATATATGGGCTTTTGGGGGGTTTTCACAATCACAGCCTTTATTTACAGTACTTTTTTCTGTTCTTGTAAAAATGGCAACACACACACAATGATTGCACTTGCACTTCTACCCAGACTCTTTCACTTTCCTCCATGTGTTGGGGTGAGATCAGACCTGTCCGACAAGGGTCAGCTAGTTTGGTTTAGTTTATCCTAACAGTTTAGTTCAGGATCTACCAGATCTTAAATGGAAACTAAAGTACTGTGTTTTCTTTCCAAAGCACACCTGCTTTGCTTCGACACTCAGTCTGATGGCTATTACTAGTACAATAACTAAAGATTTTGGTGATATTTCTGGGTTTACCCCCAAAATTTTAGGTTTTGGATGGAAATAGTAATTCGCCCAAAAATGAAAGTTATGCCATCATTTACCCGTTTACATTTCTGTATTCTGCTGAACACAAAAGAAGATATTTTGAATTATGTTTATAATCATACAATTGTGAGGCACCATTGATTTCCATATTTTGAAGAATGTGTGTTACCGAAACATTTCTGGTCCCTATTGACTTCCACATTACAGGGAAAAGTAGTATGGAAGTCAAGTGGACCAGAACTGGTTTGGTTAGAGTTACACACTTTCTTCAAAATATTTTCTTTTGTGTTCAACAGAACAAAGAAATTCATAGGTTCGGATTCGGAACAAAATGAAGGTGAGTAATATCCATTTTTGTGTGTCTATCACTTTAATTAGTGCTTGTCTAATGATGCAGTGTAGTAGTATTGGATTAAAATAGTTTGGTTGAAATATGAAGCGGTATCACGGATGTAGTTTTTTAATTTCCCAGTTAATTTCACTTTCTTTTCTCAGTTAAATAAGGTACACCACTATTTGCCAGTACATAATAATAATCCAACTTTAGGTTTCACTGCTTCATCATTTTCTATTGAAACTTCCTGTCGCCACAGATTTTTGTCTCTATATGTGTATATATTTATGGACTTAGCAGTAATTGCATGGGGACCGGTTATAAGGCTTTGTGGTTGCCAGTGTTATCATAGATCTTCTTGCAGACATGATAATAAACCAGTCTGATCCTGCATAACCATTGAAGGTTTGCCATAAGGTTGCACCATTGTGATAATGACACATTATGCGCAGGGTCTGGTTTCTTTGTATTCGTTTATTAGTACATTTATTATTAAGGTGTATGTTAACCTTATTGACTTTAGGTCTCAATCAGGCTTTAAATGTACAGTTTAATGATTCATTTTTGTGTTTGGAAAACTGGTCCAAGTTTACTCTAGTAATTGTCATGTGTTTGACTTGTTGCTCAGCGATGACATGGAAAGTACTTAATGCAGTTTACTGCTGACATCACATGACTGAATAAGCCACTGTGAAGTTTGGTGTCAATCAAGATTAGAAACGGCTCCATCTTCCTATATGAAAATGGACGATCATTGATTTCTAATCAAATGTTTTTCAACTTTCCAATTCAACTAGTGATGAACCGATATGAGAAATACAATAACCGATAATTCTTTATATTTGAAAGCCGATAACCGATAAATTGGGTGATAAACCTAAATCCAAATTTTTATATAATTTTTGAGAGCCTGATTACAAAAACAAAAGTCTCACCATCAAAATTCATGTCCCAAACACAATTATAATGTTCTAATTAATTGTATATACCCGATATGACAGATTTTGTTGTACTATACAGTATTTTCCTTTTTGAAGTGATTCCAATCATATTTCATTCAATTCAAAAGCATCATGTTGAACAGTGCGCATCTGAAGTGTCTCCGCTGAAGGAATTAACCCATTATTAATCCGCTTTAATATATCAGGCACATTTTCTTAAATGGCCTATAATGATAACAGTAAGAATGAACATGTATATGGTACTGGGTCGTTTTTATTCAGACCTAGGCTTTAGATTAGCTAAATGAATTTGTGCCTCGCTCCCAGTGATTACCATACGTTCTTCATTTATTGTAAGCCTAGTTGTTCGTGAATGAGCTCTTACTTGGCTAATGAGAAGAGATTACAGCTTCAGAATAATATGATCAAGCACAGACTAAATTAGGACTGTGTTTGTTTGTGTATGGGATTATATGATGGGTGATACGCTGGAGAACACAGCTATCTTTAGATCATCCATCTCTCCTGAGATCTAGTTTCCATAGCAGTTTTTTGTGTTCAGCTGGAACCAGTAACAAGCATTTCTAAGATGAAACCCAACCTGTGTTCACAGACTTAACAGTTTTTGTTGCCTTGTGCTTTTTTTTGATTGCTATTATTCAATTTGAATATTTTTTTTCCTCCCAACATTCAACGCTAATGGTATGAATGATTTGATATAATTAAAGAGCATATTCTATTAGATCACCAGTATTTAAAGGATTATTCCTCACCAGGCAGACGATTAAACCTAAGATGTGTTGTCGTCTTCTCTTTCTCTCTGTACAGCCCAGGTTTCTCGTAAACTGACCTTCCTGTATCTTGCGAATGATGTTATACAGAACAGCAAGAGGAAAGGACCAGAGTTCACAGACGATTTCGCGCCAGTCATCGTCGATGCGTTCAAACATGTTTCAAGGTGAGTTATTAAAAAAAAAAAAAATAGAAAATAGAACAATTTTTTTTTATTAGAATAGAACAAAAATATGTTTGAAGGGTTATCCTGGGAAAAAGGAAAGTAAAATTTTAAGGCTTTGTCCGTTTTTGACCGGGAGGAAGCTAAGTGTAACCCAGTTACGAAGAGGCCCAGAGGGTTAAATTGTCAAGTGTTCTATTTTTCTTTCTTGCTTAGTGGGTTTAATATATTGTATCAGGGTTATTGAAATATAGTGGAGTATATTAATATAAATATTAGTTCAAAACAATTAGAAATGCTGCCTTGGCAGTAAACAGAAATAAGTTGAATCTCTAGAATTAACTGGAAGTAAATATAAAAGGTAATGAAACTGTTAATGACTAATAAAAAAGAAAAAAACTGTAAAAAAAATGAGAAAAAATAATGTGAGAAAAAGAAATCAAGAGACATTTAAAATAGATGAATGTGCGATTAATCGCGAGTTAACTATTACATTAATGCGATTAATCACGATTAAATATTTTAATCGTTTGACAGATCTAATATATATATATATATATATATATATATATATATATATATTATAAATTTGATACTTATAATAATTAAATATTAATATATAAATATATATATATATATATATATTCTGTGTATGTATGGGTTAATCGAAATCTAAAGTTTTTACAAACAATAAAAAACCCTGGTTACGCCTGATGGTTTATTTAGCAAGCGGAGATATTTATAGTGCGCTCAGCTCAGAGAACCCTCCAGTTTAGCTAATTTACAAGCCAGAAATTTGACACATTTTTTCATGTAAGTTAGGCTTGTCTAACCATGAAAGTTACGCTTTCGCTTTTTTTACCTATAATTAAAACACACTGGTAGGAATAGTATTCACCCAGACCATGGGATAAATTTAATTATTTTATTAATTGCACTATTTTTTTAAATCAACACCATAATACATTTTTCTTGTAAAAACTTTTTCTTCAAGGGAAATTTTTAAAAATTGAACACACATTTTTCTTAGGTAAATATAATATGGTCTTAATATAAGCCCACATATTTGCATCTTGCTGCAGCGTTGCTACGATTCTTGTGGTGAAATTACATTATTAACCAAGATTTTCCCCTTCCTGTCCAGTGAAGGAGACGAGGGCTGTAAGAAGCAGTTAGGTCGAGTTCTGTCCATCTGGCAGGAAAGAGCTGTGTATGAGAACGATGTACTGGACAAACTCTCTGACGTCCTGCGTAAGTAAAACACCACAAACACACGCTGTTCACTACGGAAGCCGTGAACCGCAGCGTGTAAATAAATAAATAAATGAATAGAATAAAGTCGAAATATTTCGAGATTACCACAAATCTTGCTCCGAACTTTGTGGCATGTTGACTACTACGGAAGACTGTTTTCTCGTAATGTTTCAACTTTAATCTTGGAATACTTAAACTTTATTCTTAAAATACTTCAACTTTAATCTCGTAATTTTGATTTTAATCTCAATGTTTGGGTTTTAATCTGAATTTTTCGACTTTAATCTGAATGTTTCGACTTAAATCTCATTGTTTCGACTTTAATCTGAATGTTTCGACTAAAATGTCATTGTTTCGACTCTGAGGAAGTTGTGGGTGGTGGGTGAAGTGACGTATTCCGCAAAGCGGTCGAATTTTGTAGTTCTTTTTGTGCTCGGTTACAAAGTTACAAAGTGCAAGTAAAAGCAATACAGACACCTTCGGGAGACGGCAGACGCGTCATTCAACCTGTTGTAAATCGATCTACCATCTTAAAGGGTTTTGGTAATATATTATAAAGGTTGAAGAGTTCCACAGTGTGGCTTTAATCTCAATGTTTCCATTTTAATCTCGGAATACTTCGATTTAAATCTTGGAATACTTCGACTTTAATCTCAATGTTTCAACATTAATCTCAATGTTTCGACTTTAATCTCGGAATACTTCGACTTTAATCTCAATGTTTCAACATTAATCTCAATGTTTCCACTTTAATCTCGGAATACTTCGACTTTAATCTCAATGTTTCAACATTAATCTCAATGTTTCCACTTTAATCTCTTTTTTGTACGTTTTGGTTCAGGGCTTCCGTAATACACTGATTTGAAAGGTTATTGGGAATATTGTATAGTTGTTTAGAAAGACTCCTCATGTTGAACGTCTCCTCATGACCTACAGAGATAGAAAAGAAGGCCAAGAAAAGGCCTTATGAAGAAATTAAGGTGAACAACGATGACTTCGCCTCCCAAAGCTCGCCTGGTGAACCTCCACAGGTATGAAAGAACATGCAGAGATTTAGCTACACGTCAGCTTAAAGGGGTAGCTGAAGCCATCCTAGGTGTATATGACTTTCTTCTTTCAGACGAATACAATCGAAGCTATATAAAAAAAATCTCCTGGCTCTTCCAAGCTTTATATTGGGAGTGAATGGGTATATTTTATATAAGTCCATCAAAGTGCATCCATTCATAATAAAAGTGCTCGAAACGGCTCTGAGGGGTTAATAAAGGCCTTCTGAAGTGAAGCGATGCGTTTGTATAAGAAAAATATCCATAAAATATCCATATTTAAAACTTTATCGACTAAAATAACTAACACAATGCGTTATGCTTCACTTCAGAGGACCTTTATTAACCCCCCAGAGCTGTGTGGAGCACTTTTATCATTGATGGATGCGCTTTGATGGACTTTGAAAAAAATATACCCATTCACTCCCAAGAGCCAGGACATTTGTTTTAATACAACTTCGATTTGTATTCGACTGAAAGAAGAGTATCATATACACTTAGGGTGACTTCAGGGTAAGTAAATCATGGGTTCATTTTTTGGGGGGGGGGGTGAACTATCCCTTAATCCAGTGTGTGAAAGCTTGTTTTGTGTCCCAGACTGCAGATCTGATCCGAGCGCTACAGGAGCTTGAGAACGCGGCGTCGAGCGACGCTACTCTACGTCAGCGGATCTCTGCTCTTCCCCCAGAGGTGCAGGACTCAGCACTATTGCACAAAGTTACAGGTGAGAACACGCGCAAACCTTCGTCGTTCTTGGGTTATATCCGATCGTAAACGGACCAATAAGAAACCCCGATATTCGGACTGAAAAAAGCTGCCGCAGGTTTTTAATTTGAAGAGCTGGTCATAAGTGAAGAAAGCAAGGAGCTCAGAGTGATTAATGGACTGAAAGTTTGGAGAAACAAAATACTACATGGTTATGTTGTCAAAATATATATATTTTGAAACAGAGATACTTTTTGTCAAAATAAATTGTTTAAAAAAGTCTTTATTTTAGGTTTTTTGCGCACAGTATTCTTGTTGCTTCATAACATTTAGGTTCAGCCACTTGTAACTTGGACTATAAAATATTGCAGGTGTTGCGCATAATTTGTATCATACCCACAGGTTTCTATGGCATATTTTAATGGCAGATGTTGCGAGTGCAATATTGCAACGCAAGGGCACATTCATGTTATCGCAGAAAGCTGGACGTGAGCTCTCAAATATATACAAATTAACTCTCAAATGACGTCCAGCTCCAATCTCTCCATGCTCTAGAATTAAACTGTCAAAAGTTATCAACCTTGGATGAAAATGCTACAGGAAGTCTTATTGGCTGTAAGTGAAATGCTCCACGAAGTCTTTCGAAAATCTTAGGTGGATCTTTTTTTTAATACAGAATGTCTATTGAAATCTCTTCTCTAATGTCAATGTCTAATACACAATTTGTATGTTAGAAATGTTTTGGATTTGGGCATTTGTATGATTTGTGCATATAAATAACCTAGTCTGTCTAACTGCATTATTACATTGTACAGGCATTACAGGTCAAACAGCACTGAATCTGATGTTCGATTTTTCTGTCATTAGTTCCTCTTCCTGTCGTTCCAAACCCGTAAACCCAGTTCATCTTTGAAACACAAATGAAGATATTTTTTTTATGAAATCCGAGAGCGTTCTGAGTCTGACCCCACGTAGACTGCAACGTCATAACCATTTTCAAGGCCCAGAACAATAGTAAAGCCAAAAATCAATGAAAAGGTTTCCCTTAGTTAATGATAACCCTGTGTTGAAGCAATATGCATTATGAAATGTCCTATATAAATTAGGGCTGTGCAACAATTAAATCACATCCAAAATAAAAGTTTGTTTTTATAATGTATGTACTACTGTGTATTATTATTTTGTATGTATAAATGCACACATATATGCATGTATATATTTAAGAAAAATGTGCATGTGTTTATAAATAAAAATATTTTAACTAATTTCTTAAAAATATACATGCATATATTTATAAATACAAAATGATTTTGGTACACACTACACAGACATATATTCATTATAAGCACAAACTTTTTTTTTGGATGTGATTAATCATTGAACAGCCTTCAATGAATACAAATAAACTAGAATACAAATGATATGTAGTCTGTCGGTGTAAGACTGTCCTTCTTGTGTGTGTGTGTGTGTCAGATAAAGAGTCAGGCGAGCGTCTCTCTCGTCTGGTGGAGGAGGCCTGTATGCTGCTAGCGGATTACAGCGGACGGCTAGCAGCCGAGATCGACGACCGACGGCAGCTCACACGCACGCTTGCCATCTTTCTGCAAACTCAGAGAGACGGCCTGGCCCAGAACGAGCAGAAACTAGAAGTGGGTAAACTTACTGACATCATTTCCTTTCCTTTTCTGTTCACCCTCCGTTGTTGTCTTCTTCTTACTAGTGTAATTTACTTTCTAGTCTTTCTCCAATTATTCGTTTTTGAAACTTGTGTATGTCAAAAATATATGAAAATCTTTACCACTTGTACTAAACTTAAATTCAACTTTATATTGCACTGTGATCAGAGTTGCATTGGTTTGTTCTGCCTATAGAGGGCAATAAAACTCTATTTCAGCAAAGCCAGCGCTGCATTCTCTTAAAGAGACAGTTCACCCAAAAATAAAAATATTTTGTCATTTACAAACTCAAGTTTATCCAGACATGTATTACAAATATGTTTCTTGTTCTGAACAGATTTTTTGAACTGAAGAACAGTTTTGGTCCCCATTGACTTCCATAGTATTTCTTATTTACAGAGTATTGTGCAAGTTTATTTCTGTAGTTCAACTTAAAAGGTGAAACTATAGACTAATTACATGTTATACATATAGTAATTTTGATGATTATGGCTTACAGATATGAAAACCCCAAATTCAAAATTAGAATATTGTGAAAAGGTTTTCATATCTGTAATCCATAATCATCAAATTTATAACAAATAAAGACTTGACATGTCTCACTTTGCAGCATGTAATGAGTCTATATAATAGTTTCACCATTTAAGTTGAATTACTGAAATTAACTTTTGCACAATATTCTATTTTTTTTTTAGTTTTACCTGTAATTCTATGGAAGCTAATAGGGGAGCAGCAACTTAATATCATCATTTTTATTTTTATTTTTTGGGTGAACTGTCCCTGTAACTGTCCCTGCGTGAGACGCTTCTGGGCTGGTAAGTATGAACACAAAGTTCTAGTGAAAGTTTTATGGGCATTAACCGCTTAATTTTCCAGCCTTTGCCAACAGGAAGTGAGCAGCTCCTGTGTTCCTCCTGATGTCGTCTTTACTGATCAAAGAAAAATAAAAGAAAAGAAAATACCAATCTCTTGAGTGTGCTTTTTTTTTTTGCTTATGCACCGGCTTTCACAAATATATCCTTATTCTTGAGTCCAGTACTATAATAACTTATGATTATTCTGTAACACTTTACAAAAAGGTTATATGCTTTTAACATTAGTTTTTTACATGAACAATAGTTTTGCTGGATTTATTACTTTTGGTTAATAAAAATGTATTATAGTGTGTTTATATATGCTAAATAAATACTGTAAATTGTTCATTTTTAGTTCATTATGCCAAATGCGTTTAAGTTTTAATTTGATGCACAGTTCATCTAAGACTAAATGTATAAAAGTAACGCATTGTGGTTTCAAGTTAAATTTTACGTTTTTATTCGCACCCCTTAAAGTCAGAGTTTGCATAAACAACATTATTTTAAGACTAGCCTATCTGAAGTACTAGTATAGCCAACTATTGACTTTACTATCAAATTAGACCAATCTATGTTTTCATGTAACTGATTTAAAACCGTTGATGACTAATGTGATGTTTAATTAGTAAGACATTGATTGCAAACTCTTAAGGGTTAAAATAGTTATATGCTGTTATTGGGACATATTATTCATATAGTTAATATCCATATCTCACATCCAAATGTAAAGTTGACCTTGCGTTGTAGAACGTGCAATTTTTGTAATTATATATTGGTGTAATTTATAACATATGCATCTTTGAATGAAACAAACATGTGTTATAGATGAAAATAATATTTTGGTGTAAATTAAATCAATTAAAATATTTCTGATGCCTTCCAGTTTTTCATTAATGACATAAACATGTTAGAGCTTAAAAAATAAATTTTTTGCAATTTTTACATTTATGGTGGAACAAAAATAACGTTTTAAACTGCTGTCAATTAAACATTAATAAATATAGTATAAAAAATTACAGATTACTGGAAACACAGTGTCAAGAACTTGAGCCAATGACAGATTTACTAAAACTGAAAGATATTTATTAAATATATATATATATAAACATAAATGTATAAAGTGCTTTAATAACAGCAGACGGTATTGTTTTAGTGTGTCTTTGCTCAAAATAAACATCACAACAAATCAAAACAGTTCAATAAATTCAGTGGAATCCAGAAAGAGTTCAGCTTTAATGTTATTTCTGATAAAAAAGCCTGTTCAATATATAAAGATTTAAAAAAAAAAATTATTATTTATTATTGGTTGTTATTAAGAGGTTATTATTGGGTGTTATTGGACTTTATTTATTTATTGTTATTTATGTTTAGTTATTTGTATTGTGTTTGTTTATGTGAAAATAATTTTAAAAAGTATTGGTTATTATCAAGAGGTTATTATTTGACTTTATTGTTATTTATATTTAATTATTTGTATTATTGTGCCTCTGTTTAAGTGAAAAGGGAAAAAAAGGATTATTGGTTATAATTAAGATGTTAATATAGGTTATTATTTGACTTTCTTTTTATTTAACTATTTGCATGGTGTTTATGTAAAAATAATAAAAAAGACAATTATTGGTTATAATTAAGAGGTTAATATAAGTTATTATTAGACGTTATCTTTTATTTAATTATTTGGATTATTGTGTTTCTGTTTAAATGGGAAAAAAGACAATTATTGGTTATAAGTAAGAGGTTAATATATGTTTTTTTTATTGTTTGTATTATTGTGTTTCTGTTTAAGTGAAACTCCAAAACAAGGGAAATTTGTACAGTGCAGTCTTAAAACAAAGGATTTACTAATATATCGTCAGTTGTACTGTGCACTAATAAGATGTGTGTGTGTTTCTTTCAGGAATACAAGCGTAAACTGGCCCGAGTGTCTCAGGTCCGGAAGGAGCTTCGGTCTCGGCTCGGAGGACTCCCGGATCTCTCCCGACTCCCGAGTGTCACGGGTCCGGCACGGGTCCGGCTGCCCTCCTCGGGAGATGTTTACCACTCCTCAAACTGAGCTGGACTCTCGCCCGTCAACATCTCCTGGTGACTTTCCTTCTGGCTTCAGAGTTGACTTCACCCGGCCACTTTTAGTGGACGCATCTGATAACAAGTTTCAATGATGAGTTTCAGTGATCACTTCATCATCGTCCCCCTTTGTGATTAAAAGCCTTTGTGCGTTAGGATCAGTGCAATCAATGTTATTCTTGAACTACAAGTCAAGGAACTTCAGATTTGTTGCTTTGTTTTTGGAAGCGTCCATAAAAGTAAGACACCAAAAGATAATTATAAAATTCTTCAGCTCCTCTCCTGCTCATTTGATAGTTCTCCAGATTTGTTATTTTTGTATCTTTGCAGTGAATATTCATTTCAGTGCAGTGTCTTATAATCATCTGCTGTGTTTTAGTGCGGCAGTGCTGTAGTTAATGTAGTTATACGTATGGAGGCTTGTTTCCGACACTGAATAAAAGTTTTTAAAAGATAATTGAGACTTTTTATCTCATAATTGCGAGTTTACATCTTTATTTCTCAGAATTCCGAGATATAAAGTCAGAATTGCGAAATGTAAAAACAGAATTGCAAGTTTTTTTTGTCAGAATTGCGAGATAAAGTCAGAATTGCAAGATATAAAGTCAGAATTGTTGTGAGATATTGTCAGAATTGCGAAATATAAAGTCAGAATTGCGAGATAAAGTCAGAATTGTGAGATATAAAGTCAGAATTGCAAGATATAAAAACCAGAATTGAGAGATATTAAGTCAGACTTGCGAGATAAAGTCAGAATTGCAAAATATATAAAACCAGAATTGCGAGATTAATTCATAATTGCGAGACATAAAGTCAGAATTGCAAGATAAAGTCAGAATTGTGATGTAAAACCAGAATTGCGAGATATTAAGTCAGAAATGTGAGATATAAAAACAGAATTGTGTGATATAAAGTCAGAATTGTGAGATATTAAGTCAGAATTGTGAGATATAAAGTCATAATTGTGTGATATAAAGTCAGAATTGAGTGGTAAAACTTGCAATTGCGAGAAAATTCAGGATTGTAACTTTACATCACGCAATTCTGACTTTATAACACGCAATTGACATCTTTCCTCTGAATTATGAGATAAACTCACAATTGCGAGATATAGTCCAATTCTAAGACAGTTTATATCTCACAATTCTGACTTTATAACACAATTACGACTTTATATCTTGCAATTAAAATAAAAAGTTATTAAAAGATAAAAAGTCGCAATTACCTTTTTTATCATTTATTCTGTGGCGGAAACAAGCCACCATAGACCCTTTTGCGCCGACGTCACGACGCTAGCTGGAGGTAAAACGTACAGTAACGTTAATCCTGTCAGATTGTCCATGCATTGAGTGAGCGTGTAGGCGGCTACGGGTCAGCCAATCTGGTTCCGTCCGTTAAAAATAACTTTTGGAAATAACAATCGCGGTCCTGGACACTGAGTGACCTTACTTACACATTAAGATAAAATCGGATTTTCTTCAGTCATTGTTAAAAAACGAGCTAACAATACTTGCTAACTAGAGTTAGTGAAGTGGCCAGAGGGATCGTTCTGCCTCTACCTAAGCTCCGCCCACACAAAAAAAAACGTCACCATTTTTACCAACTGAAAAGGGGTCTATAAGAGCTTTGTAGTCAGCAGAGAGAGGTCAGCAAACAGTAGTAGAGTATACCATATAATATTCCAGATTTTTATCTCTTTCGGTGTAATTGTGAAAGCTATCTGAAAGGTCAGCGGCCCTTTGCAACATTGATCAAACAAATTCAAATGTGTTTAATTTTTATCTTGTTCTCTTCTTCATCCACACACAGTGATTTGGTTCTGATGGCTTATTGTTCATTGTCCTTCTCGGTTTGTTGGTTGAAGAGTTTATGTTTATGTGCGTCTTACTGTATGGCCGCTCCGTCATTGGTGATGAACAGAACCAAACTGCTAGTTAAAACCGTTTCTTTTGTAGCATCTGAAGGCGAAACTTTTAACTTATTCAGTTGTGAGTGTATTTTATCATCAGCCTTTGTAAATAACGTGTCAGTTTGAGCCAAATAAAGCTGAAAGCAAAGGATAAAATCATTCTTTTACTTATTTTCTTAGATTGTAATGAAACAACATGTACAGTATTTTTGCAAAAATTGCACTTTGTTTGTTTTTTCCTTTACACATTTTTAATCCGCGTTCTCACAATGTTGTCAAAATCTCTTGATCTTGAATTATACACACATTTCTATTTTATTTTGCTCTTGATTGGTTTAACAGTAAGTAAAAAAATTACAAGTAAACATAAGCCTTTCAGATTTTGGCACCATGTAATAATCCTCCAAACAGCTGTCAGTATCCAAAAAAATAATATATTTTAATATCTAGGCACAATCATCAAAGATAACCCTTATTGTTTGTATATTTGTTTTTGTTGTGAGTCGCATAAGAGGATACAGAGCCACGGTGATGAGGGAAAAAACTGAGAATTTTTTTTTTTTATGCTTTCAGGTTCTTTCGCAAATTTTAAGCGTTTAAGCGTTAAAACTTTCGCAAATTCCTCCAAAAAGTTCTTTGCGAGAGAACTAAAAAATATGTCATTTGTTTTCCATTGCTACGTCCCTTTTGTGCCTCCATAGGATCTGATTGTTTAAAGGAAATTGAATATGGAAGGTCATGTTTGTCTGTTTATGTTGTTTTCTTTCTCTTCAAATAAAAATACTAAAAGTGACCCCACATTGACTATTCGACTTGTTGTTCTTGAGCCTATTCTGTGAAATGCATTGCTTTAATCCAGATTTGGTCTAAAAAGGTGTGGGTCTGGATCAGGGTGAGAGTTGTTGCTTGAAAAACCGACACCAAAAAAGGAAGATGGATTACCTGAGCCTGGATTGTTTGGGATTATATTCTCATCCAGATTAAATATGTGTTAATAACTGAGCCCTGGACTCAAATTCTAGTCTGTCATCAACATTCCATTTGGAATTATTAGAACTGTATTTGGAGATAGATGTATTGCTAATTGGGAAAATCCTTATGAAAATGTCTTGTTGAGAACAATGCGTTAAAAAAGACCTGACTTGCTTTGTCATATGATGCGAATGATAAATATGAGGACATTTCTGTTAGCATCCTTCTGGATTGTTGTGTGTGTGTGTGTGTGTGTGTGTGTGTGTGTGTGTGTGTGTGTGTGTGTGTGGTGGGTGGGGGGGGGGGGGTAACTAATTAAATTAGTTAAACTTCGAACCTAATCATCTTATTGAATGTGTTTGAGCTCTTCAAGGAGCTGTAAACTTATTATCTCAACAAAAGTTCAGTTTTCAGTGTCTGTCGATCATCAGGAGTTAAGCAAGCCTGCACGTTTGCACACGGTTCTCAGTCACAAGGTTTCAGATAAATCCGCTTTTACACCGAACACTAAATATTAGACGTATGCCTCCTGTTGCCTATATCATCTGTAGCCTGTGGGTTCAAACTGTGGGATATGTTGTGAAACACTCTTCACAAACAATCACATCTTAAATTTACAAATTAAAGAGCGGTTTGGGGAAATATTGCAGGGAGTTCATTCACTAAAGGCTACTGTAAATAGCACTCAATGCATGTAAATGTACGAGTATTGTGGTGTGGTGGTGGGATGATCCTAAAGGATGCCATTGTCGTGACTTGGAGAAAGTGTTTGCACACGGTTCGCAGTCACAAGGCTTCAAATAACAGCGCGTTTGCACTGAGCCTCTAATATCAGCGGCACTTCACCTCAGGATGCTCAGGACGAACCTCACTGTTTATTAACTGCACTTTACAATTATTTTAAACGTCTGTGGAAAGAGGGATTTCAGGAGGTAATCTTATCAAAGGTGAAGGAAAACTAAAACCATGTTCAAAAAAGATCCAGAAAAGATCAATTTGGTGACAGAAAACGGTGCCAAAATGTACACCATCACGTCAGAAAAGTAAGTAAATTATGTTTATAGTTTAGTAAAGTAGGCTAGGTGATTTCAGAGTGATTGTGACATTTTGCAATTGGGATGTTTTGGAAAAAGTGCCTAAATTCACAATTTTTAAGAGGGTTATAAAGGATCCAGTGACGAATTATGTTTCGTTCACTTTTTCCTCTTTTCGTGAGTGTTTTGCTGTTGCACAAGGTCGTTTCTCAGTGGTGTGCAAACTTTGCACTGCGCCCTAATCCTGTGAGAAATGAATGAACACCCGCGGACACATCCCTGTCAATTTGACACATGACTCAATCGAATCCACTTTTAAAACGGCTTCATGTGGCGTGATTTTTGCTCATCATCACTTCTCTCTCAGCACCAACATGTCTCGGTTCAGTGAATTAATGGAGTCACTAGACCCACTGCCACTGAATAGTACCCGCCGGGATATTGGTTTATTTCGATTCGGAGGTAACTGTCAGCCAATCCTTACGCATTGTTGAAAGAATACCTTGGTTGTATGTGTTTTTTGTATTCAATTAAAAAAAAAAAAAAAGAACCTAACTAAAAAAACCTTCACTAAAGAGAACCGGTTCAAAAGACCGATTTGTTCACGAACCGACACTATTTTTCAGTCAGTAAAGCATTACATTAAAACACAAAGGCTAGGTAACTTTAGGCATCATTTTAAGTTTCCTGCTAAAGTGTATAGCCTATAATAATCAATATTTACACTAAAAATGTTTGCCTGAGCTCCACCAACCAGAATATATTTATTTTATAGAATAGTAGGCCCACTTTAATATAAAACATAAGCATCAGCAGGTTTTAAAGATAAGTGGATTGTTTTTTTTATTTATGTTATAGCCTATGCCATATAGGGGTCAATTCGGAGTGATTGGGACATTTTGCCATTGAGATGATTTGAAAAGTGTCCCATTTTAACTAAATTTTGAGTGTTTTATAAGTTTCCATGCAGGGACTAATTAGGTTTGTTCACTTTTTCCTCTTTTTGGGAGTGTTTTGCTGTTGCACAAGGTTGTGTCTCAGTGGTGTGCAAACTTTGCACTGCGCCCTAATTCTGTGAGAAATTAACAAACGCCCGAGGACACATTCGGCTGGATTCGTGATATTTCATTGGCTTTATCCGTCTTTCCGTTAAGCTCTCACACATTTAGCTCAATCAGTGACCAAGCAATGCTATGTTGTTCAGTCTGTAAATAATCAATAGCCTATGTGCTTGCCTGAGCTCCACCTACCAAGGCATGTTTAATTTATATGCCTAGTAATTTAATTTCATAGTACTTTACTGTAAAACACAATGTTTACAATGTCCAGTATGACAGGAATAGCATTGTTGGGTGTTTTTTTTTTTTTTTTTTTTTTTTTTTGGCACAGCATTGTTGGTAAGATGACCATATTTTGATTACCAAAAACCAGGACACTCGGCCCGGCAAACAGATACTCAAATGATACTCGAAGTTTACTCAAAGATGCCTTATTAATTTCAATACATTTAAAGTAGGCTATGCCTCTGTCTGGATAGAAAATTGTTATATTACAAGACACAAATTCAGATAGGTTTCTCAGAGGTTACTCAACATGTTTTATGACAGGCTTCAAAAACAATGAAAGAAATAATGATAGAAATAATGATAGTCTTCTGTATTAGAAAAAAATATATATAAATAATAAATAACTAAAAGAAATACCTCCAAATTTAAAAAAAATAGCTCACAAACTTACAAAAACAAACTAACAATAGGCCTATATATACAGTATATATATATATATATATATATATATATATATATGAAGAGTTCAGATGCAAAAGCCTCTAAATGCCATTTGAAATTTTCTTCTTTAAAGATGATTTTTATCAAACTTGTATATTTAAGTTCAGTAATTTCACTTAAATAACAATTAATAGGTAATTATCATTGCCATTTAAGTGAAATTACTGAACTTAAATATACAAGCTTGATAAAAATGATCATTCTAGAAGAAAATTTCAAATGGCATTTAGAGGCTTTTGCATCTGAACTCTTCATATATAATATATATATATTCTTCCTCTTTACCCTGTTTTTCTATCTCATCCTCCTTGTTTGCACCATATATTATTACATCTATGTAGAGCTGATCTTTCCCTGCAGTTTTTTGAAAACCAGGACATTTTCACCACTTTACAAAAAAACAGGACGGCCAGGACAGGACGTGAAAACAGGACATGTCGTGGGAAAACAGGACTGTTGGTCACCATTAGAGCCCGACTGATAAAGGATTTTGAAGTCTGATACCGATACAAATATTTATTGTTTTTAAAATCCGATATTCCGATATATCGGCAAATTTTTATTTATTTATTATTATTTCAGAAACGCGCAACAAATTGTAAAACATACATTTTCAATATAACAGGCCAAGGAGAGATGATATACGTCTCATTGCTATAACTGTCACGCGCTATTAAAGAAATACTTCAGTCACATTGTCAAAAGTTAAAAGGACTACACTATGACATTGACAACATAACGTTACTATTACTAGCTAATTCCGCTTCACTCTCGGCTTATTTAACAGCAGCAAAACTGGACATAGTCACAAATTTTGTCATGCTTATTTGATTTAGGAGAACTGATGTGGATGTTCTTTCAATTGTTATTCAAGCAATGTATGTCTCCTGACCAACTCAACGAGTGTTCCCTACAGGGACTGTGTAGAGTGCCCTCTGGTGGACAAACTATACAACTCCAACAATCATGACATGGTTCAAGCGTGTTTCCTCCTTTTTTTATTTTTTAAATATTCATTTATCGGCCATTATAACTGCCGATACCGATAGTTTGGAAAATGTCTAATATCGGCCGATAATATCGGCCTGCCGATATATCGGTCTGGCTAGTCACCATATTGTTGGTGAACTGAATTGTCATGCATGGTCAACATCAGACATAAACTCACTGTTTGTCAATCAAACTGATGACTCCTTGACTTATGTTAATGCCTGTTGTATTCCTCCCAGTATTTCCTCAGGTGACATGAAAAATGGCAAACACTGTCACGACAACAGCCGTGCCCTGGAGGACCGAGAGCGAGAGAAAAAGCTTGCTAAGAAACGTCTGTACATCGTTTCAGCGGTGTGTCTGGTGTTTATGGTGGGCGAGATAATAGGTGTGTGTGTGACCCTTCGTGAAGGTTCATTACTTCACATTTGTTAATGTATTAACTAACATAAACTAAACATGAGCAATACACTTGTTACAGTATTTATTAATCTTTGATTATGTTAGCTACTAAAAATACAGCTGTGGATTATTCATGTTAGTTCACAGTGCATTAACTAATGTCAACAATATTTTAATAAAGTATTAGTAAATGCTGAAAGTAACATTAACAAAGATGCTGAAGTATTGTATATGTTAACTAACCTAATTTTAAAATGTTACCCTGATTTTCTACATGTTTTTGCACACCAAAGCATCTCTGGGGAATATGAGAATCAATGGCATAATTCAGGTGAAACTCGAAAAATTCGAATGTGGTGCAAAAGTTAATTTCAGTAAATCAACTTATAAGGTGAAACTATTATATAGACTCATTACATGCAAAGTGAGATATTTCAAACCTTTATTTGTTATAATTTTGATGATTATGGCAGCTTATGAAAACCTCAATATCAAAATTAGAATATTGTGAAAATGTTTTCATAAGCTGTAATCCATAATCATCAAAATTATAACAAATGAAGGCTTGAAATATCTCACTTTGCATGTAGTGAGTTTATATAATATATTAGTTTCACCTTTTAAGTTGAATTACTGAAATATTCAACTTTCTCGAGTGTCACCTTTATGCGGATATGATGTAATAAGTGCATATGTCTGGTCTGTGTCCAGGGGGGTATTTCGCTGGAAGTTTGGCGGTGATGACGGACGCTGCGCACCTGCTCGTGGATCTCACCAGCTTCATCATCAGTTTGGGTTCGCTGTGGTTGTCCTCCAGACCGGCGACGCGCACGCTAAATTACGGCTGGCATCGAGCAGGTGAATTACTGCAATTGAAGAACAGTATCTTTTCATGCCCCAAAACTCCTGCATCTGGCATGGATACAGCGAAATATACTACATATTAGGGCTGTCAATAGATTTTAGTCGGCATTAAACACACCCTTTTTGTGAATGAATTATCGAATTAATTTTATTGTGATTGTCTTATTGTTCTCTTAAGTGTCACAGGCCCACCAGTGGGCCCAAATTCACTACATTTTTAAAACAGTATTATCTGTACTAAACCTAAAATAATCATTTGAAATCTTGCAATCTCTAGTTTCCATATAATAAATTACAGAGGAGTCGTAATTTATCAATTTGCAACAATAATATTTTCATAATCCCAAGGCATGTTAAGACCTTGATTTATAGTGATGGACATGAAAAATCATGAAAGAAGCGTAGAATCCTGTTTTCATGCCAAGAGTTCAAAAGATAGCCTCCTTTTAATTATTTTAGAAAAAAAGGTCTGATTTTTTTTTTGGAAATATAAAGAAAAAAATTATAGATTCACCATTTGTGATGTGGCAGGAAGCTATAATGTGCATACTATAGTTCTTTTTATGTTTCTTAGAGGTTGAATTCATATCAAAATCTGCCAAACTTCTCATATTACTTCTGAATAGGATCTCTACTTCATAAATTCAAAACTCAAAACAGATATGGAAATGGAGTCGCCCTTATATGGGCAGTAATGGAGCCTGGCTGTCATCTAGTGAAAAAGTTTGGTACTGCGCCTAAACAAAATCTTACCGAAAGCAAATTTTTTAAGATATCAGACTAAAATTTGAAACACAACTTCTTCAGATTTTTGGATTTTTTTTTTTGTGCAGTTTTAGAGTCACCCAGGTTTTGATAATATAAAATATGAAAAACATTTTTGTATATATTTTACATTTTCATGAACTCAAACTTCTATAACATTTTTCTGTTTCACTTTCTTAATTTATTTCACTTCTACAAAAATCTGCCAAATGTCTTCTTTAAAATGAGACCAATCTTACGTCTATATACCAAAGCATTCTTGAATTACAACCATTTAAGTTTGAAATGTGCATTTTCACATAAATTCTGACACTTAAGGGGTTAATAAATGGTACAGGTCAAGGTGATTGGTTTAGGGTTTTTTGGCATCTTGGTCTTGTTCAGTATAACTTGACTTGTATAATATACAGGCTCTTTGCTGTTGCACATATAGTGAATTTATGGGTGTTTTGGTGTGCATTTATTAATTATCTGGACTCTTTGCATCGTTTGGAACTATTTTCATTTGGTGGAACAAAAATAGACAAAGTAACTTAAATATAGACTGCATATACTGCTGAATAACTAAACACAGCAACGTCAAACTGCCGTCACAAACAAACCGTCAAAAAAGGGGTCTCTGGAGACGTTGGATAGTTTCGAAGCACGATTGGAAAAAGCACATTTGCTTCATTGGTTTGTGTTTCACGAATCCTCGATCTGCCCACCACTACCCAAGTGCAGTGTTTATTTAACATAAATGTGTACAAAATAACCTTGACATGGCCTCAACATAAACTGACTCTCACCAAACAGTGGTTACACAAACAATACAAGACAAGAGACTGGAAACATGAGGTCATTTAACACAGAGACTAATGACTTGACAAGACACACCTGTGAACATGATTAAGCAATGAACCAATGAAAGAACAGAACTGAGAAACCACATGACTAAATCAACCAATGACAACATGACACATTCATAAGGGGAGCACATGGCAAGGAAAAGGGAATCGCATGACAGGAACCTTAAAAACAGATAAAAAAAAAAAACATTAAAATGAAACAAAACCAAACCTAGACAATATTTAAAAATATTTCTATTGACATAAATACTGTTCGTTTGAACTTTCTATTAATCAAAGAATCCTAAAAAAAAAATGATCCTGGTTTCCACAAAAATCTAAAGCAGCGCAACTGTTTTCAACATTGATAATAATCATAAATGTTTCTTGAGAATCAAATCATCATATTAGAGTGATTTCTGAAGGGTCATGTGACACTAAAAACTAGAGTACTGATACTGAAAATTCACAGGAATTAATTACTCTTTACTATATATTCACATACAGTAAATGTTAAATATAATAAAATATAATTTTTTTCTGTATTTTTGATCAAATAAATGCAGCCTTTTTGAGCAGAAGAAAGTTTTTTTTTAATCCCCCGAACCTCAAACTTTTGATTGGTTCAGGTTGTGTGTGTGTGTGTGTGTATATATATATATATATATATATATATATATACTAGATGTGATCTGAGTATATAGTGAAGTAAACTGGAATAACATGTGTAATGTTATCGCTGTGCTGTTGTGTGTTTTCAGAGATCTTGGGCGCTCTGCTGTCGGTCGTCAGTATTTGGCTGGTGACGGGCGTTCTGGTGTATCTGGCGGTGGAAAGGCTCATCAACGACGACTTCACTATCGAGGGCACTGTGATGCTCATCACATCCGGCTGTGCTGTACTGGCCAACATCATGTGAGACAAACACCTCATTGTGCATCCACACACACTATTTATAGCCTTAATCTAATAACTAATATAGTGCCTTAGCAAAACTGTAATTTGCTGTGAAAATGTCTTAAAGGTGCACTGTGTAATATTTAGGAGGATCTGTTGACAGAAATGCATTGTTTTCTGTATAAAGATGTTACATAATGAACCTTTCTGTTTTTATTACACTGTAGCTTAGAATGAGACATTATCTACACACACAGCAGGTCCGCTTACATTTACATATTTCTAGTGATGCACCGATGTGAAAATTTGTGGCCGATACCGATAACCGATATTAACATTGCTGTTATGGCCGATACCGATATTTACCGATGTCGATATCCCTGTATAGAAAACACATAGCGAGGATTAGGGCTGCACGATATTGGTAAAAAATGACATTGTGATATTTTATTTTTCTGCGATATATATTGTGATATAAAAACAATTTCACCAGATTACTTGAATTGCTCTATTTGGAAAGAATGAATCATTCTAGAATGACTGGGGTAGTTCTGTCATGGAGTAAATCTGCATAGAAACTAATATTAATAGAATGTTAACAAAATTTGTTAACATTCTATTAATCTATTAACCTTACACTTTACAATAAGGTTCCATTTATTAAAGTGTACACTTTAATAAATGGAACCTTATTGTAAAGTGTTTCCGATTTATGTCTCTTGAGCTCAGTGTTGGACAGATCAGTTGTTTTAACCATTCATTAAAGTGAATCGGTTCAAAGGAGTCATTAGTTCGCGAATCGGACGTGTCATTAACGGAACCACGGCACACGTTGTGATTATCCAGGCAGTTTAGAACATCGCAGGAGATTTGTCTCGACCTATTTTTACAGTCTATGGTCTCGACAGTCGACACAGAAAACATTTCATCAACAGATAGATTTTTTTGGTTTATTGAAAGTGTGGTTTCACAATTCACAACCAGTAGTTCAGAAGAAAAAAACTTCGGTCTTCCGACCTTTTACCGTCGTGTATTCTCAAAGATATTCAGTCAACTCAATTCATAAACATGCGGGAGGGAGAGAGAGAGAGAGAGAGAGAGAGAGAGCAAGACATTTTGAAGACGGCGCGCGTGACCGGTGCTTTCACTCTCACTTTTTCCCTCAGTTAAACAAGCGCAAGACATTTTGAAGACGGCGCGCGACCGGTGCTTTCACTCTCTCTTGTTCCCTCAGTTAAACAAGCGCAGCAGTCACTCATCTACATCACTTACCGGTCAAATATGGCTTTGGCGGGACAAAAATATGCATTAGGAAGGCTGGCAGAAAACACCAGTTCCAGTCTTCGTGGCTTGATGTTTAAACGCACTTGCGCTTTTAATACGCGTACAAAAACAAACATCCCCGCCCCCACACTCACACCTACACGCACGTCAAATACACAGGGATGATCATCGGCCTGTTCACATCGGCCCTATTTTGACATCGGAACGATACCGATGTGTAAAAAATTGACCAAATCGGCCGATATTATATCGGCGGCCGATATATCGTGCACCACTACATATTTCTACTGTGGCCCTAAACGGACAAACATGTTTCGTCACTATGTTGTTCTTCATGAAAAGAAGCTGCTAAAGTCAGCGAATAAAACACTGACACAATGATGAACAAGTACCAATAATATTCACAATAATATTGTTTTACTGAATAATTAATAACTCTTAATTTATCTATGTAAAGAAACCTCATTGCTTAACTGGTTACTCTCTGCTGTCTCAGACGACGACATCACTACTTTTTAGATTTGTAGTTAAGACCGCCTAAACCGAGACCAAGACACTACTAAGATCAAGACAGACCAAGTCGAGACCAAGACCTAGACCTAGACAGACCAAGACCTAGACAGACCAAGACCTAGACAAAAACCTAGACAGACCTAGACAGACCAAGACCTAGACCAAAACCTAGACAGACCAAGACCTAGACAGACCAAGACCTAGACCTAGACAGACCAAGACCAAGACCAAGACCTAGACAGACCAATACCTAGACCTAGACCTAGACAGACCAAGACCTAGACCTAGACCTAGACAGACCAATACCTAGACCTAGACAGACCAAGACCTAGACTGACCAAGACCAAGACCTAGACAGACCAAGACCTAGACCTTGACAGACCAAGACCAAGACCAAGACCTAGACAGACCAAGATTTAGACCTAGACAGACCAAGACCTAGACAGACCAAGACCTAGACAGATCAAGACCAAGACCTAGACCTAGACAGACCAAGACCTAGACAGACCAAGACCTAGACAGATCAAGACCAAGACCTAGACCTTGACAGACCAAGACCAAGACCAAGACCTAGACAGACCAAGATTTAGACCTAGACAGACCAAGACCTAGACAGACCAAGATTTAGACCTAGACAGACCAAGACCTAGACCTAGACAGGCCAAGACCTAGACCCAGATAGACCAAGACCTAGACCTAGACAGACCCAGACCTAGACAGATCAAGACCAAGACCTAGACAGACCAAGACCTAGACCTAGACAGGCCAAGACCTAGACCCAGACAGACCAAGACCTATACCTAGACAGACCAATACATAGACCTAGACAGACCTAGACCTAGACCTAGTGTAACCCCTCACACCCGGGTCCTACTCGCCCCGCTCCGAGCGGGCCTCAAACCCGGGTCTCCGGCATGAGAGTCAGGCGCGCTAACAAGGAGGCTAAAGACTGCAGCCTCTAGCATCTGTCGCTAGAGCGCCTATTGAGATCGGGGAGTGAGGTTTACTCGCACAGCAACTACTAGCTGGCCTCCGTTACACTAGACAGACCAAGACCAAGACCTAGACCTAGACAGACCAAGATTTAGACCTAGACCAACCAAGACCAAGACCTAGACCTAGAAGTAGACCTAGACCTTGAAGTACTTGTGCTAAATGTTACGCTGCTAGATGTAAGGAAAAAATCCCTATTATCTCTAGCATTGGCTACTGTATATAGACCTCCAGGGCCTTACGCCGACTTCTTAAAAGAGTTTGCAGACTTTCTATCAGATCTATTGGTCAACGTTGAAATTGTTGGAGATTTTAACATACACGTAGATAATTCAAATGATGCGTTAGGGGTTGCGTTCACAGATTTATTAAACTCCTTTGGGGCAAGCAAAACGTCACCGGACCAACTCATCGTCTTAATCATACACTCGATTTAATTATATTATATGGAACCCAACCAACCGATATAGATATTCCACAAAGTGACGATGTCACTGACCATTACATGGTTACCTGCATAATACGTACTACTGTAATATGTCATCCTGTGCCACGTTATCGACCAGGTAGAACAATTCTTCCATCCACCAGATCATTTCTCAAATAGCTTATCTTATCTGACTCAGCTGCTGCCTGAACCCAAACAAACAGATGAACTAGACGAACTAACTAGCACTATGACCTCCATTCTCTGAAGAACATTGGATATTGTTGCACCCATTAGATTAAAAAAGGTCAGAGAAAAAAGTATAGCACCATGGTACAATAATACTACGCATGTTTTAAAGAGAGAAACACGAAATTTAGAGCGTAAATGGAAAAAAACTAATTTAGAGGTCTTTAGAATCGCGTGGAAAGACAGTATGTCACGTTATAAAAAGGCTCTTAAAATGGCCAGGGCTGAGCACCTCAGCAAACTAATAGAAAACAACCAAAATAAACAAAACAACCTCTTTAAGCTCACTAAATTCGAGGCTTCTGGTCATTCCTAGGATATCCAGATCCACCAAAGGAGGGATAGCATTTTCACATTTAGCTCCGAAGCTCTGGAATAGCCTTCCTGATATTGTTTGTTGCTCAGACTCGCTCTCCCAGTTTAAAACTAGAGTAAAGACGCATTTATTTAACCTGGCATTCATATACATTTTTAATCTTACAGTTACTGTAAATTTGGCCTCTAGTTCATAAACGCCAGAGGAGAACTGGCCCCTGACTGAGCCTGGGTTCTCCCAAGGTTTTTTTTTTTCTCCATTGGGTCATCTGATGGAGTTTTTTGGTTCCTTGCCACTGTTGCCTTTGGCTTGCTCAGTTGGGGATATTCAAATTAAATGACCCATCATACCATTGATCAGCTCTACCAATCTTGATTGTCTTTTTTCATGAATAAACAAACACTGTGATGTTGTCTTGATTGATATTGTGAAGCAGCTTTGATACAATCTGCATTGTGAAAAGCGCTTTATAATTATATTTGACTTGACTTGACTTGAATTGACTAGACAGACCAAGACCAAGACCTAAGCCAGACCAAGACCAAGACCTAGACAGACCAAGACCGACCAAGACAAAGACCTAGACAGACCAAGAACAAGACCGAGACCTAGACCTACAGACTAAGACCGACCAAGACAGACCAAGACCAAGACTTAGACAGACCAAGACCGACCAAGACCTAGACAGACCAAGACCGAGACCTAGACCTAGACAGACCAAGACCGACCAAGACCAAGACCTAGACAAACCAAGACCTAGACAGACCAAGACCTAGACAGACCAAGACCTAGACTTCCAAAGATACATAACAGCTACAAGTATACAGTATGCAAGTCTATGCAAATCCACTATATACAGGATTCACCGTATTGACACAATTTGATAAGTCAAACAGCAAACAGCCATCCACAAATAGTCTATAATATAGGCTGTCATTGAGTTCACTTGAACAAGGTATAAAAGAGGTGTCAGGAAGAAGACCCAAACTTGTGACCTCTGAGAAGGACTGTACTTAGTGTTGATACAAAATCCTCAATCTCCCCAGGTTGTCCGGTTAGAACAAATAATGAGGACGAATTTTACACTGTCATGCCACTCTTTAATGAGATAGAATTTTGTTCATGTTCATGTTCTTGGTTTCTAAAACAAATAGAAACAAATGGACTCATGAATAATAATTATTCATTCACAATTGTAAAACTCAATACAATGAATATAATAAACATTATGTCTCAAAGTGCAAAATATACAAATGGCACAAATAATACTGTCTTGAATGCACAGACATAAATTATTAAACTGCCTGAATAGCTGTAAACCACCAACAACAATTGCGCTATAGCATTTGGCCAATGAGGGGTTAAATCGCACCACATCCGAAAACATTCAGAGCGTGCATGCTGGTGTCACGTGATCAAAGTTAAAACCTACGATGCACACATCCAAATACGGTGAAATCGCCCTAAACCGCTCTAAATCACAATCAACAAGTGAAACTATCATATAGTCTAGATTTGGTTTGGTATTATAGCTTCAGGAACACATACATCAGTAGGCAAAGTAAAGTGCAAGGAATAGTACACATACTACATTAATCTAAGTAATGAAACAGATAACAATATTTACATAAACTCACATTCTCATGGACGCATGAAGCAGAACTGAAGAATATGATATTTCCCTCAAGATATACAGGATCGGAGATGGAGCGAGTGTCTCCGATGAACGTTACATGCGCAATGATAACAGTCAGCGGTTGCGCAAATAGAGACTGTCTGATTGGTGGAGAAAACGAAAGTGGATTGCTGATTGGTCTAACTGTTGCTGGGCACGTATAAAGTTAAAGTGACACCACAGTAAACTAAATAATAACTTATAATAACACAAACACAAATTAAATTCAGAACCTTATTAACACAAGGGTTAAATTACTCGTCGGCTACAGAAGAATACCACAATTCCTCCATTCAGTTAGGCCTCAGACATAGAGAGTCAAGCAGACCTATAACAACCCCAGCCACAACACATAATTGGGAATAACATGCCTTACCTTAACACAGAATGGATTTCAAGGACTTTGACTTTGCCTCCAGCGTTTATATTTTTTCTACGAATCTTTGAGTTAACATGTATTAAACATGATTGGAATTTGCACTGCAGCACCATCATACATTGATGCTCATGACAAGAACAGCATGTATAGTTATCTTTATTGAAGTAAATTAGGTTTAAATCGCCGTCATGCATGAATTAAAAATATTTTTGATGTTTTACACATAATACTCCCAAGACCTAGCCAGACCAAGACCAAGACCTAGACAGACCAAGACCGAGACCTAGACCTAGACAGACTAAGACAGACCAAGACCAAGACCTAGACAGACCAAGACCAAGACTTAGACAGACCAAGACCGACCAAGACCAAGACCTAGACAGACCAAGACCAAGACTTAGACAGACCAAGACCGACCAAGACCAAGACCTAGACAGACCAAGACCAAGACCGAGACCTAGACCTAGACAGACCAAGAACGACCAAGACCAAGACCTAGACAGACCAATACCAAGACTTAGACAGACCAAGACCAACCAAGACCTAGACAGACCAAGACCAAGACCGAGACCTAGACCTAGACAGACTAAGACCGACCAAGACCAAGACCTAGACAGACCAAGACCAAGACTTATCAGAACAGAACAGAATGACTTGTCAGCAGCCATATCACCCTGTAGCCCAAGACTGGTTGCCCACTGAAGCTAAGCAGGGCTGAGCCTGGTTAATACCTGGATGGGAGACCTTCTGAGAAAGCCAGGTTGCTGCTGGTAGAGGTGTTAGTGAGGCCAGCAGGGGGTGCTCACCCTGTGGTCTGTGTGGGTCCTAACACCCCAGTATAGTGATGGGGACACTATGCTGTCAAAGAGCACCGTCCTTCGGATGAGACGTTAAACCGAGGTCCTGACTCTCTGTGGTCATAAAAAATCCCAGGATGTCTTTCGAAAGAGTAGGGGTGTAACCCCGGCATCCTGGCCAAATTTGCCCAGTGGCCTCTGTCCATCATGGCCTCCTAATCATCCCCATATACACCAATTGGCTTCATCACTGTCTCCTCTCCACCAGTAAGCTGGTGTGTGGTGAGCGTTCTGGCGCAATATGGCTGCCGTCGCATCATCCAGGTGGATGCTGCACATTGGTGGTGGTTGAGGAGATCCCCCCGTCTATGTGAAGCGCTTTGAGTGTCCAGAAAAGCGCTATATAAATGTAACGAATTATTATTATTATTATTAAGACTTAGACAGACCAAAACCGACCAAGACCTAGACAGACCAAGACCAAGACCGAGACCTAGACCTAGACAGACCAAGACCGACCAAGAACTAGACAGACCAAGACCTAGTCACCAAGACCAAGATCAAGACAGACCCAGACCTAGACAGACCAAGACCAAGACCTAGACACACCAAGACCAAGACCTAGACAGACCAAGATAGACCAAGACCAAGACCTAGACAGACCAAGACCAAGACCTAGACAGACCAAGGCCTAGACAGACCAAGACCAATACCTAGACACACCAAGACAAGACCTAGACAGACCAAGTCGAGACCAAGGCCCCGTCCACACTACTGCGTTTTCGTTTACAAACGGAGAATTAAAATGAATACGATCTCCGTCCACACCAGCGTTTTATCTGCATATTAGAAATGATCTCCGTCCACATTAAAACGACTGAAAACGCGGATTACGTGACCATTCACCAACACTGGGCATGCGCGTGCCGGTGTAAACAGTGATTGACGAATCAGGGAAGGAAACGTCATGACTGATAACACCCAATCATGGAGCCGAGCGTCAGCCCCTGTGTCAGTGTTTCTGAAGTCTTTATGGAAGTGAATTAGGTTTAAATCGCCGTCATGCATGAATTAAAAATATTTTTGATGTTTTAGCCTACACATAATACTCCACAATGATCACATTACACAAAACTGAAATTGCACGTCAAAATAAAACATTGTCAATATTCTTTGAGACCCCCCAAAATTTCACGAATCACGTTTTCAGAGGAGCCCATGCCATATTAAGGGGAGCCGAGCTCCCCCAAGCTCCCCCGTAGTTTGCACCCTTCAGAATCGATCCAGAATCGTTGGAGAGAGAATCGCGATGTATCGATGGATCAATTTTTTCTCCCAGACCAGTGTTGTTGAAGCTAAGCAATAACTTGTAAGATTTTGTTTTGCATTGCCTGTCTATCTCTGCCGATTTTGAACTCTCCAAATGAATCCGTTCTGGAACTTTTAAATACATAATTATATTTTTAAAAACAAAATTATAAGCTTAAGTGCAGGATCTGAAATTTTGTCATTTTGTCGCTATGGTTATACACACACACACACACACACGCACACACACACACACACTGTTGGCGGTGCGCGCCGGTCTCGAGACTTGCTGTCGGCTACCGCAACTTCTGTTGGGTGCAATTCGCAACTTCACCACTAGATGTCGCTAAAAAATTCTCAATGCACCTTTAAAGGGACGCTCTCTCTGTTGTTGTGTGTGTAGAATGGCTCTCACTCTGCATCAGTCGGGTCACGGCCACAGTCACGGCGGTCTGAGCGCTGGTCACGGCCACAGTCACGGCGGTCTGAGTGCCGGTCACGGTCACAGTCACGGGAAGGAAAACGGACACGGCCAGTCTAACGCTAATCATTGTGACGTTGAGGAGCAAGGGATGGGGAAAAGACAGCAAGCAAATGCCAGCGTAAGGGCAGCGTTTGTCCATGTGATTGGAGACCTTCTGCAGAGTGTCAGTGTGCTGGTCAGTGCCCTGCTCATCTTCTTTAAGGTAAGCAGTTTTACTTTACATTCGACAAGTCCTAACTGATGACCCAGTTTACAATAATCTATACATACAATTTTACAGTTTATAATAATATGAGTGTTCTCTGAATGTTCAAAACATCCAGTTTTTTTAAAAAGTAAAAAAAAAGTTTTATTAGTTATGCGAATGTTCCATTCTGCAAACTCAGAAGTAGTAACATATAAAAAATTTGAAAAATGTATATATATATAATTTTATATAATTTTAGTGCTTCAACTTCAACTTATTTCAGTTTATTGCCAAGACAAAATTCCTGATTTGATTTTGAATATGATGCTAATGAACTGAATTATTTTCTTTTTACAGCCTGAATATAAAATTGCAGATCCCATCTGCACCTTCCTGTTCTCTCTGTTTGTCCTGGGAACCACATTCACCATCATGCGGGACATTATTATCGTCTTAATGGAAGGTAAAATGTCTTGCCTTTGACTTTTAAAGAAGCTGAACGTTTTGAATTTTTGAAACCAAAGTTACATGGGCCCCAGAATATTTTGCTGAATATCTGAACATGCAATATATTAAAAGAAAGAACAGAGCCGAGAACAGTTCTCATTTCTTCGATCTTGAAGATGTGAGCTCCTCTGCCCGGTTACATAAAGCACCGTAAGTTTTTTTCCTTAAAACCCTCTGGGCTTCTTCATAAATGGGTTACACTTATAGCTTCCTCCCGGTCAAAAACGGATGAAGCCTTAAAATTTAACTTTACTTTTTCCCAGGATAACCGTTCAAATATATTTTTGTTCTATAATATTTTCTGATTATTATATAGAATTTTCAGAGTTTTTTATGATACTTTGCATTAATTATATAATTTTTAAGAGCTATTTTTCCATTAGAATATATATATATATATATATTTATTTATTTTATATTTATTTAAAAAAATTTTCAATAAGTGCAACAATTCACATCAAAATAGAGTGCCAGCTTTATAAAAAAAATGTTCAAGTAGAAGAGCGCCACCTTGTGGCTTTAAAAAATAGTTACATGTGTGCAATGTCCTGTACAGCCTGTAGGCTGCCTATAGCTTATTTATTTATTTATTTGTTTATTTCGAGCAATATGTAGTTACACATGACAAGGCAATACGAAGCATTTTGGTTAGTCTGTACAGGCCTTTTAATTCATCATATTTACATAAATTTTAACAAAACCTAAATCTAATGCTCGAAACGGAGTGGATAGAAGTCAAACTTATTTGAACCCACCCCGGTTACCTATAACAGGAAAAACAAAACAAAACAATAATAGTTGCTTACTTACACATTATCATAACACTCAATAACAATTTTGGATATAAGTACATATATGAAAACATGGAAAAGGAGAGAAGGGAAACCCCTTCTCCCTCATCAAAAGCAAAACCATACCAAAACAAAACATATCCTACATACACACCATATATGATCATGATCTCAGGTAACAATTATAATAATACCAACAATGGTAATCAATTACCTACAAGGTAAAATATAACAGATTATAAACACATGGATACATCTATGAAAATACCAACAATGGTAATCAGAATACCTACAGGGTAATATTAACAAAAATACATGAATACAACTCACAAAATTAAACCATTTCCGACATGTATTGCGATAAGACCTTCTGTTTATAATGAACTTTAAATTGATGAATATTTTGACTTTGTTTAAGTTCAAGCCCCAAACTATTCCAAAGTTTAACCCCACATACAGTCACACAAAAACTTCTCCTAGTTGTTCTGACCACTGGTATTACAAAGTTCCCATAACTCCTCAAACTATACGACTGCTCACTCTGTGTAAATAACTTTTGTATGTTAGCAGGTAAAAGGTTGTGAAATGCTTTAAATAAAAATTTTGCTATATTAACTTTAACTAGGTCCTGAATTTTAAATAATTTAGATTTAAGAAAATCTATGTCCTATCCTATGTAAATATAAATACATAGGAAGGCTTTTTGATTCCTGTTGTTGTTTTAGACATGATTTCTGTATCTTATTCGTTTTTTTATTTAGATAGACATTTAGATATTCTAAAAGACAACTAATAACATTTTTTTTAGATAAGTATCAGGTTTTGCATTATGATTACAATCAAAATATATATAGCATTTGGTTAGAAAGGGAACACAATGCAAACATTTTTGTTACTCAGTATTTGATCATTCAAATAATTGAACAAAAGAAGGGATGGTTAGTGATAATTCAAAACACTTTACAGACATTTTGCAATACATTAGTATTTTTTATTAATTTTTTATTCAATAAGTAATAAAAACTTCATAAGGGAACAGCAATAATGATTGAACAGAAATAAACATAAAATAATACTAATTAAGTTAATTTTCTCTCTCCCTGTGTGTGTGTGTGTGTGTGTGTGTGTGTGTGCGCGCGCGGTGTGTGCATTTGAGCAAGATTTTTTTTTTCATTTGTTGATTTTATTTTGCATATTCTCAAAATTTGCTGTTACAGTCTTACCAGTGAATATCTCTCTCTCTCTCTCTCTCTCTCTCTCTCTCTCACTCTCTCTCTAGGTGTTTGTGTGTGTGTGTGTGTGTGTGTGTGTGTGCTCGCGTGCCGTGTGTGTGTGTGCATTTGAGCAAGATTTTTTTTTCATTTGTTGATTTTATTTAGCATATTCTACAAATTTTGCTGTCACAGTCTTACCAGTGAATCTCTCTCTCTCTCTCTCTCTCTCTCTCTCTCTCTCTTCTCTCTCTCTCTCTCTCTCTCAATTTTCAATTCAATTCAATTCAATATAGCTTTATTAGCATGACTGTGTAACACAATGTTGCCAAAGCATCAACATATTATATATAAATAATAGAACAAACACACAGAACATGTGAAGAGTTCAGATGCAAAAGCCTCTAAATGCCATTTGAAATTTTCTTCTTTAATGATGATTTTTATCAAGCTTGTATATTTAAGTTCAGTAATTTCACTTAAATAACAATTAACAGGTAATCTTCATTGCCATTTAAGTGAAATTACTGAACTTAAATATACAAGCTTGATAAAAATGATCATTTTAGAAGAAAATTTCAAATGGCACTTAGAGGCTTTTGCATCTGAACTCTTCATATATACTGTATGTATAGATCATGTCATATAGATCATGTCATATGTAGCATGGTAAATAAATAAACAGAGTATATATTAATAAATGAATGAATACAATTAGCTGTCTCTGGCCTTGTGAATATCTAACACATATTTAGCCGCTAGTGCAGCTGTATTATCATCTTCTCTGAGTAAGAAGAACATTTTCTCAGTGTCACTCAGACCAGAGAATGATGGGATGAAGGATTCAAATTTGGGCAGAAAAGTTTCTCTAATATTGATATATTTGGGACAGAAGAGCAGAAAGTGTTCCTCATCCTCTGTGTGCTGTAGATCACAGTGTCTACAGATCCTCTGCTCTCTCTCTGTCCATGTGTGTCTATGTCTTCCTCTCTCGATCTCTAGATCATGGTCGCTTAATCTGTATTTGGAGAGTATTTGTCTTTCATTAAAATGTTTAGTAAATAGATAGCTGGCCAATTTAGTGGTTCTATTGAGGGTCGAGTAACATTGGAGTTTATTTTGGAGGTCAAAATGTGCTTTTGATTGATCATGAGTGTCTTTTAGGTGTGTGTGGATCTCTTTAACAGTAGTTTTGGGTCTGATGGACGAGTTGAAGAGCGAGTGTGTGTAGAGGATGAGGTTCTGCTGAGCTTTCATTGGCGAGGAGGGCTTTGTATTGGACTGACTCTGGATCAGACTGATGGAGGTGATGCCAGAACTGAACACATCTCTTCTGGATCTCAATGTTCAGCGGGTACAGGCCTAGCTCAGCCCTGCAGGCGGCAGTGGGCGTGTTTCGGTGAACCCCTAAAATATTTTTGCCAATTTCCAATTGTAATTTTTCTACTAATGTTTTATCCCAATTTTTTAAATTTAGTAGTGGTCCCCAAATTTCACATCCATATAGAAGGATTGGTTTTATAATCGAATTATATAATTTTATCCAGGTTTTAATGGGTAATTTTAAGTGTCCACATCGTGACTTTATGGCATAAAAAGCCCTCCGAGCCTTTTCACTCAGTGTTTTGACAGCCAGACCGAAGCTTACCGAAGCGCTGATGTCGATGCCCAGATAGCTATAACTCGTGCTGTGCTGCAGGACCTGGCCTTTATACAGGAACTGGTGTTTGTGTTCCTGAGATCGGGCCTTCTTCTGGAACACCATGACTCTGGTTTTGTCCAGATTGACTGTCAGGGCCCAGTCGTGACATTATTGTTCCAGCAGGGACAGGCTCTGCTGAAGGCCCTCAGGTGTGCGGGACAGCAGGACCAGATCATCCGCGTACAGCAGACATCTGACCTCTGACCCCTGACCCCTGGCCTGTGTGTGGTGTAGAGTGAGGCCGGGCACAGTGGAGCTGTCCAGCGCTGATGCCAGATCATTGATGTAGATGTTGAATAGAGTCGGGCTCAGACTGCAGCCCTGCCTCACTCCACGACCCTGCTGGAAGAACGCGCTTCTGTGGTTATTGATTTCTCTCTCTATATATATGTGTGTGTGTGCGTGCGTGCATGTGTGTGTGTGTGTGTGTGTGTCCATTTGAGCAAGATTTTTTTTCATTTGTTGATTTTATTTTGCATATTCTACAAATTTGCTGTTGCAGTCTTACCAGTGAATATCTCTCTCTCTCTCTCTCTCTCTGTGTGTGTGTGTGTGTGTGCATTTGAGCAAAATGTTTTTTTTTCATTTGTTGATTTTATTTTGCATATTCTACAAATGTGCTGTTACAGTCTTACCAGTGAATATATCTCTCTCTCTCTCTCTCTCTCTCTCTCTCTCTCTCTCTTCTCTCTCTCTCTCTCTCTCTCTTCAATTTCAATTCAATTCAATTCAGAAAGCTTTATTGGCATGACAAAAAATACATTTTGTATTGCCAAAGCGTCAAAACAACATAGAAAATGATTTGGAACATTTAGTACACAAAATATTAAAACTGATATCATAAAACAATAATAATAAAATGAACAGATTAATAAATAAAATAAAATGGATTTAGAAATCATATATATATAATATATATATATATATATACATAAAAAGAACAATATTGAACATTATATACATGTGTGTAGGTCTTAGGCTGTGAGAGAGTGTGTGTTTAGTGTATGTTTGCTGGTTTCTGGTCGTCTCTCTCTCTCTCTCTCTCTCTCTGTGTGTGTGTGTGTGCAATTGAGCAAGATTTTTTTTTCATTTGTTGATTTTATTTTGCATATTCTACAAATTTTGCTGTTACAGTCTTACCAGTGAAGATCTCTTCTCTCTCTCTCTCTCTCTCTCTCTCTCTCTCCTCTCTCTCCTCTCTCTCTCTGTGTGTGTGTGTGTGTGTGTGTGTGTGTTGTGCATTTGAGCAAGATTTTTTTTCATTTGTTGATTTTATTTTGCATATTCTCCAAATGTGCTGTTACAGTCTTACCAGTGAATATATCTCCTCTCTCTCTCTCTCTCTCTCTCTCTCTCTCTCTCTCTCTCTCTCTGTGTGTGTGTGTGTGTGTGTGTGTGTGGTGCATTGAGCAAGAATTTTTTTCATTTGTTGATTTTATTTTGCATATTCTCCAAATGTGCTGTTACAGTCTTACCAAGTGAATATCTCTCTCTCTCTCTCTCTCCTCTCTCTCTCTCTCTGCTCTCTCTCTCTCTCTCTCTCTCTCTCTCTCTCTCTCTCTCT